GAATCAACGCATTTATTTAAGAATATAAATAAATAATCCACATGAACACGCGACTCAAACTGGTGAGATCAATCCAATTATATTCATGCACGTATAAACGTAAAACACTTAAAAACATAATTTACCCTAAAATGTACATTATTTTTTTTCACCAATATAAAATGAATCTGAATAAAACATGTGATGAATAACACTCTACACAAACGACTCAAACTAGTGAAATCAATTCAAATATTCATGCACGTATTAGCATAAGACTCTAAAAATCGAATTCACTATTATTTTTTCTGTAGAATAAAAATAAATCTGAATAAAAAATATGGACGAACAATACTCCTATGTATGACATAATTTAAATTTCAAATTTCAAATTGGAAAATATTTTGGAGAAAAAGACAAATATTTCTGAAATAAAGGGAACAATATTCACACATGGTATAAAATTTAGGACTTAGGGTAAAATTAAAAGAAGAAGTTAACATGTGTTGTTAAGGCGCTATTTGAATAATTTTCATTCAAAAAAAGGCTCACAAACGGTCCAAAAATTAAAAAACGAAGCGGGTCATTTTTTGCATGCATGAAAATAACACAAACTTTTTTGAATTTTGAAAACAGCTCCACAGCGCTCCATATATACCCGCGCCCTCACCATTTTCTCACTCCCCTTTCTCTCTCTATATCTCTTTCTCTCTCTACAATAAGCTCGAATCTGAGCATCTTCTTCATTGGGGAAGGCATAAAGATCGGCTGAATTCTTCATCGTAAGCTTCTCTTTTCTTGATTCTATGGTTTATCGATTGGGTTTGTCAATGTGGTTGTTTAAAGATTTAATCTTTTTTGTTTCATGAACATACATTTCGTTGTTGGTGTTTGTTAATCTGATGAAATTCATGTTAATTATTTGTTATCGATGGATTTATTTACATGGGTCTTCTTTAATTTCTGCTCTGAATAAGCTTAAATCTGTGCATCTTCTTTGTTGCTGAAAGCCGAAAACTTGACTGAATCCTTCATCGTAAGCTTCTGTTTAACTGATTCTGTAGTTTATCAATTTAGATTGTTAATTTGGTTGTTCAAAGATTTAATCTTTTTTGTTTCATGAACCTACATTTCGTTTTTGGTGTTTGTTAATCTGATGAAATTCATGTTAATTGTTCGTTATCAAAGAATTTCTTTACATGGGTCAATCGTTAATTTCTGCTCCTGATTTGTGTGCTACCCTAACCCCCAGCTGGCGTTAGTAGATTTAAGTGTTGGGCAGTTGATGTAGGTTCATATCTGTTTTAATTTATAGATGAGATATATATGTTTATATTAAATCTGCATCTAAGGCTGAAAAAGACAAATGTTTGCATTGGTTTAGTTAAAATTCTGATATTTTTCCCTTGCCAAAGTTTGAATCTATAGATGTATATGTTATGTTAATGAAGTTTCATCTAATTCTTTGATAATTAAGCTGTGTATATTGGCTAATGTTGTATTTGTGTTCCAATGTGGTCATTTCTCCATATAATCATGGATTCGTTTTACCATATGCCATTTCAGTTAATCCGTGTAGTCTGTAGATCTTTGTTCTGGCTTACTCATTACGGATTACTAAAAATGACAACTTTTTACCATATGTACTTTTTTTTGAGTGGGATGAATTGAATGAATCCCACATCTAGTGAAGGTTGAGAACCCTAGCTTCCTTAAAAGACTTGAGGAATCTTTTCTTTTCCGCTAGCTTTTGGAGTGCGAGTTAGCCTCATGATTTAATTTGACAGTTGGATAATAATGATAATATTTGTTTTTTATGTTCAAGATTATTATTTTTTTAACAGATGAAAATTTTAAACCTTCTGTAATCAAGGTGCTTAAAATTTTGATGTTGCTTTTTTTCTTTTGTTATGATTTGTAACTGACCATAACCTGTTTGATATCTCTACCCAGAAAAATGGACTTTTTGCCAGATGCCATTGTCCCGTGCATCTTAGTCTATGTAACCAATGCAAAAGATGTGGCTTCTGCTTCTTGTGTATCAAAGAGATGGAAGGAGTCAATTCCTTATCTCAACAAGCTTGTCTTCCCTCGTAACATTTTTGATGATGTTAAGAGGTTCTCTCCTGATGACATTATTGGGCACATGGTTTCATCAATTAATAAATTGGAAGAACTTGTTGTATACTGTCCTTTTAGTGGTTCTGGCCTAGCGTCATGGCTTTCATTGGCAGGACATTCTCTACGGAAGCTTGAACTAAAGATGGATGACAACCTTGTTGATATGAATTCTTGCTCCAGGAAGTTGGATAGTATCGGAGCAGCAACGAATTTGGAGTCATTGAAACTTTGGGGTGTGAATATGACTCGTGGCCCAAAATGGCACACTTTCCATAAGCTTAGAAATCTTGAAATAGTTGGTGCAGTAACAGATGACTCTAACCTCCATGCTGCATTAATGGCTTGCCCCAATTTGAGTAACCTGTTGCTCCTTGGTTGTGAAGGACTGACAGATGTCTTTATTGAGCTTCCTCATCTGGAGAAATGCAAACTTGATTTCAATGGCTTAGGTAAATGCTCCCTTACTGTCAATTCTCCAAAGCTTCAACATTTGGAAGTGCAAGGCTTTAGTGGGATCAGAGTCCCTGTGACTCAATTTCTCAGAGACCTCATCATTTCTAATACTGCAGGTACTGAAAATTCCATTTTTAAATACTATTTTAGTGCTCTACTTTTAAACAGTATCACAATCAACCAACTTTTATTGTAGGACGGGTTGGTGCTCTTGATTTTGGAAAGCTTGTGGCACTTGAGTCATTGGAGATGAGAGGAGTTCAATGGTGTTGGAGTGCTATACACTATATGCTTCAATTGGCAAGTGAAGTCAAGCATCTCCTCATGAAGGTGGAATTCACCGGGGATTTTGATGCTCTTCAGCCATTTCCTGAGATTGATATTGTTGATTTCTTTAACAGTCATCCCAAGCTAACAAAATTTGAAATCCATGGTGCCATGTTTGCTGCTCTTTGCCAGAGAAACAGCTTGAGAAATGTGAGTCTTTAGTTTCTCCTTGCTCAATGGTTCCTCATGGTGCACTTAATGTTTGTTTAGTTAGTTCATGACATTTGAAATCTTGGATGTTTGCAGGTGGACTCCAGATTTACGATCCCTTGCCTTGAGGAGGTTGTAGTCACCGTGAGGTCGCCACTGAATGCTGAACAAAAGATGAGTACTCTAGAGTCTCTAATCAACTGTGGAAAGAAACTGAGGAAGATGAGAATAAGAATTCTTCAGATGAAGAGCAGCCATAGCAGTACAGATGATTTTTTTGAGGATATTTGCAAATTCACTCACAGTCATCGCAGGATTGTTTCAATTGAATAAAAAAGAGTAGCCCAGTGCACAAGGCATCCCGCATTAGCAGGGTCCTCGGAAGGGCAGCACACCCATTGTTTCAATTGAATAATGATTGGATATTTCCTTGTTCTCTTTGATTTTTATAGGAACATACTTGGACCATGTCCTTCTCAGTTCCTAGACATTTGCACTTTGATTTTTGTACCTTCTGAATTTTATAGCCAGACTTGGAGCTCAGGTGTTTTAAATTTTAAGCCAGATTAGAGGCTTTGAGGAAATCATATATGAATTTCTTTGGTTTTAGATGAAATCCTTGCTTTTTTTGGAAATTGAGATGCTTAATTTTCAATTTTTGCTATATCATTGCAAAAGCTTCTATATTGTCAGTACTAAGAAAAAGAGTTCAGTAGTTTACTATGGTCAATGTAATGTCCATAGTACAACGAGAAGGAGTTTACTATGGTTAATGCAGTGAGATTTGTGGAACTAGTCATGGCTTGTCAGCTTATTATTGGAAAAGCTGTTCCTATGAAACATTATGGGTCTCCGGTATCCAATTGAGGGCTTCGCTTACAGTAGAGGAAAGCCACTTAATTGAGGGCTTCGCTCACTCGTTCTTACCTTTGCCAATGACATGTTTTTTTTACATATTGTTATGTTTTAAAATTGTCCTACAAGCATTTCTCTATTGATAAAATTCATTTTTGGAAAGCAAAATGATAAATTCTATTATGTTATTGAGATGTTTAGCTTCAATCAATCTTAATGACAAAATCATCGAAGATTATTATCACATGTGATGTCAAATTTTGTTACTAATACAATGTCTGACTATCATATTTCAATAATTACTACCTCCTTAACTATGGGAAAAATATGTGGAGTGTTATTTTTATGATAATATAATATAGGAATAAAAATGTATGTATGAGTAATGAGTCTGTAATGTACTTGATTAAGAACACTTAAATTAATAAAAATATTAACAAATTTGTTAACCCAAACACGAAATACTTTACAAATCCTCTTTGAACTAGATAAGATAGTTATATAAGTGGAATTGGTTATTACATAAAAAGCAGATAATGTACCCATTATATAAATTCTTTACACTATCAATATATATTAAGTTAAATTAATGTATCATAGTTATAATATATATCAATAGCATAAATAATTTATATGGCCAGCAAACATATTATTTAAAGGTTTGAATTTCAACTATTTTTTCTTGATTGAAATGTTTTTTTTTTTGTGCAATTGATTAACTATGAAATTGCTTGTATTTTTATTTTATTTTTTGAATATTTCTGCACCTATAAGGTGTTAGTATGACATAAATGAGACATCTCTTGAAAAGGAAAAATCATATATTTCTATTATATGGATATATGTAAATCAAAGTCGAACAATATAATTATCAATTTATCACCGAAATTAAATTTAAGAATGCTAACATACCACACTGTACCATGTTCATCCCTACCAATAGCTATACTAGCTGTTATCGAGGCAATTCCATAACTTAGGGAATTATCATGACAACTAAGAAATATATCAAGAATGAGCTCTCAGTAAAAGAAGCGAATCCAAAATTTAAAATTAACGGATTTAACATTAAAATTATGGATTTAAGAATAATACATTTGTTGGATTTTAGTAAATTTTTACTCACACATAATTAATATAGACATACACACACTTTGTGTTGAAAATTATGAATTCAGATGAACCTGTAATCAAAAGTCGAGAGAATTCTGCTGCTTAAATAAGCAAGACTGTTTCAGAGAATGTACAACAAGTCAACAACAATGTCCACTGAAATGATCAAGTGAAGAACAACTTCAACTAAAGAAAGTCTAAATTAGCTTCTTCTTTTGGAAATATCGCTTCAGATACAAAATTTGTAAAACCGCTGCCAGGACGCAGACTCCCAAGGATGCAAGACTAAAGCTAGCCACCCGCGTGTTAGTTATTTCACTAACCGCCCGCATCTCTGCTTCTCTGGAAGGACATAAAGAAGATGGTATAAAGGTGAAAGAACAAGAGCAAGTTAAGTAAACCAAAAGCATTGCATCTATAAACATATTTTAAAAAGTACCTGGTCTTTAAGTAAATCAAATTTTCACGAATGGCCTCCACAGCTCCCTCAAGCTTTCTCAGCTCAAGTTCAATACCCTACTAGAGGCAGAAATTTGAGTAAAATTTCTACAGCTTCCAGAAAAGATCTATTAATCTACTTATCGGGAAAAGAAAAGCCAAAGTATGATCCTTTACCGATGTATCAATTGTACAGAAGGAGATAACAACTACATAACCAAAGCTTAAACAAGTTACAATACAAGCTTTTGTCAGAATTTTCTAGTGCTAAACTAAATTGTCCTGATCTTGGATGAATCATTGAGTTCAACTTCCATCACGGAATGAAGCTTCCACAAAGCCTTTTTCCTGAATGATTTATAAGGTGACAATTCTAGCTTTCATAATCAAATCATAATTAATGCTAAAGCTTGATAGTTAACTCCTTGAACATCCTAGGTCACAAAGTCCATGGGGCCACCCCTCCACCCTCACAAGAAGGAGAACATCCATGTGTCCAACCACTTACCAACTCCAGAAACAATAAGCAAAGACACACAAAGGAATTAATGAACTCAAACCTCAGCATAAAGTTATGAATTAACCTTATATGCTCAGGACCACCATGCATAAATGGTTCATAAACAAAGGGTCTTCTACCAACTAAGGCAAAGTGTTCAAATGCACATAGAGGGCAGTTCGGTAAACAAAGCTCCCGCTTTATGCAGGGTCCAGAAAGGACCACACCAAGGAAAGGATAAACAAACAAACAAGCAACATAATTTCTCTTGGCAGTTAAATTGACTGTGAGGGTATAAATCAGGTTACTTATTCCCTATTGACTATCTTACTCAAAGTAAGAATCATCCTCGTACTCCCTCTGTCCAATTTCATATGATAATATATGATTGGACACAATATTTATGAATCTGTGACTTATGTACTAAATTAGTAAATAGTAATAATGGAGAAAATATTAAATTTTAACAGAATGTTTGTTTGACTGAGAAATATCACATAAAACAGTTCAATTTAAATAGTTAAATGGAATTTACGTTCTTTAAATTTGTATGACATGATATTAAATGAAATTGTGTCAAACAATTATGATGTCCCAAAATATAGATGCCATATAGAATAGGCCAATACTTTTTTTTCTTCAAACTGTGGACAATAAGAGATTTTACTAATTGACGCTCTCTCCATAGCTCTCCATGATTTCAAATCCAAATGACATCGATGGCATTGACTTCCCTCATTAACGAACTCTAGATTCATTTATACCATTATTAAACTATGGCCTTATTGACTCGTTAGTGAAACATGCTTCAAATTTATAGCTTTTAGTCCCCTTTTGTCCCTTGAGGGTCCGTACTTTCTTCAAACTAGCACACTTTGGTTTCAGACAATTATGTTACGAACGAAGATCAAAATCTGAAAGGACAACAAAATAAGGTCCCACCTCTATCTTCTCCTTTCTGGCAACTGATTCCCAATCCTTGGCAGCAATTCCGGTTTTCCAGTCAAGGCCAACATTTAAGCTCTTACCTCCTGGATTATGACCATCTTCAACCCAAAAACAAGCTAGATAGTTGCCAGCCTCAGTTGTTGTGAAGGCAAACTGACCATGTGTCGTGTTCTCATTGTGATGAAGGGTGTTCCCAAATGGTGAGGTGACCTGCAAGAGTAATAACATGCTATAAGATTCACTACAATAGCAGAAATGATGAAATATGATAAATCATACACAACATTTCCCGTAAAATTTGTACAGATGTTCTAGCCAACAAAAGGACGATAAACTATTTCAGTAAAACAAAGTAAAGAAACTTGAATCTCGAGAAAACACTCGCAATACCACTTTAAGTTTAAAACACCTCCTAATGTGTGTGTGTGAGAGAGACAGAGTCATTCAGGGCACAAGCCCATGAGATTTAATATTTGTTATCGATTAATCGAGCAATCAGGGATATACAAACATAATACGCTACCCAGCTTATGAGTTGATGCTTTGAATCATTGGAGCTGTCTAGACTTTAGTAGTACAATAAACAAGAAGGTGAAGCAGTAGAGAAACATAAACAACTAAACTAAGAATACTATAATCCTAAGCGTTTAATCTGTTCTATGCAATCGAAGACAAGGTTGGGACAAAAATTATTTGAATACAACCATCTATTTACTTAGTTATGGGAGAGCAGGGTAGTTTAAGGTGTGACTATTGAAATATTTGCAGGCTTGGCAAGGAATCTCTCCCATAATGCTAACTTACACATACATTTTCCTCCACTTTCTCCATGCAAATATACCTCCTTACCGCTCCTCGTACTAAACGGTAATCCAATAAAAACACCTGCATGAACGTGACACAAGGTGACAAGAAAAGAAGATTTACGTAGTGGCTTTCTTTTATCTTTTGCCAAAAGCCTGAAGACTTAATCTGCCCACCCACATATTTCTCGTCCTCCCTGTAATTGTCTTGTCTTTGTTATGGTTTCAGGGCCTACGTCTTCCTGTATGGAGCCACCACAATAAAAACACCTGCATGAACGTGACACAAGGTGACAAGAAAAGAAGATTTACGTAGTGGCTTTCTTTTATCTTTTGCCAAAAGCCTGAAGACTTAATCTGCCCACCCACATATTTCTCGTCCTCCCTGTAATTGTCTTGTCTTTGTTATGGTTTCAGGGCCTACGTCTTCCTGTATGGAGCCACCACAATAAAAACACCTGCATGAACGTGACACAAGGTGACAAGAAAAGAAGATTTACGTAGTGGCTTTCTTTTATCTTTTGCCAAAAGCCTGAAGACTTAATCTGCCTACAGTATGGCTTTGAAAATCTGCACCCTTGTCAACAGATAACTCAAGAGACTCAACTTTGACAAGCAGTTGAGTATAAAGTATAAGTAGGATCCCTATTCTATGAACTAGAAAAAGGAGAGTACTGTATTTGTATCAATAAAGATGATAACTTTTTTAAATTCTTTTGAAGGAACAAAGAACATATCAGCATCAAATAAGTAAAATCATCACACTATATACTAACTAATCACACTCCTATCAATAAGCATGCACAATTTTATTTGCTGTGAGTTTCACCTAAAATGATTAATGTAGCAGATTTAAAGAGCTTTCTGTACAGTATGGAGAGTTGGGATATTTTAGTATTTTCTAATTTCTAATAGTCTACTTTATAGATAGGTATATGTTAAATGTAACAAGATTCAAATTGTAACTGTATCAAATATTACATGGTCAAGTTGAGACGAGTTTATACAGTTCACTCTCAACAACTAATTAGATGTCACTTATGCTAACTTTTCCATACTTGTATCCAACCACACAGCAAGCTCAAGCAGGTTAAACAAGGAGGCTGCAGACAGAACCTGCTTAAGGAAATGTTGCAAAAAACTGGTGTGTGTGTGTGTGTGGGGGGGGGGGGGGGGTATGTAAATTCAGGGAGCGACAGTCATGTCTGCCCCCTAGCTTTTCCCTTGGAACCCATGATGCCAAGTGACACGTCCAATCTTAAAACCTTTAAGATTGATGTAGAATGTAGAGCCTAAGTTGATATTATCATGTGGCCAACTAAAGCACAAGGCTACAATTAAAATTCAGCTAGAAATTGGATTAAGCTTATAGGGTGAAATAACTAGCAGCGCCAAGTACAACGACATTGCAGCAAATTGAATCATATGATGATGCAGGAGCAAGAGCAGAACCAAAATCAATTTCAGCAGCATCATATCATTGACCAAAGCCAAATATCTAATACCTATTGTATGTGAGGTGCCAATGTAAACAAAGAAGATCATGCCTAACTACCGTTTAAGCAGATCAAATCACAGATTCATTTACATAAAGAAGAATTGAAGTACGCCAGCAAACTATGCATTCCCTAATCTTAAACTAAAACTAATTAAAACCCAGGTTCGAATTCCAGCTACAAAAACCCTCTACCCAAGATTTGGTACCCGGTCGTTGTTCACGGGGCAGCTAACTAATACAGAGTAGAGTATAAAACAAAAATGATAGAATCGGAGTATGGGGATACCTTGATGGAAATGGTGGGGCTGGGATGGGTATGATCATCGGGAAGGGCATAGTAATCAGCCAAAACGACGACGTTGTTGTGAAGTTCTTCAGAAACACATTTAGTTCCAATGGGGGGAACAGTCAACCATATAGCTTGTCCCTTGTGCAATAAACAGAGTACCATCAAGAATATCCATCTGCTCATGTCACCCATCATTCCCTTTTACTTGAAGAATTTTGACTGACAGAGCTTTGGGATCTTCAAAAATGGAAATCGGAGAAGGAGATCGATCTTCTCGTATTTTGCAATTGATTAATTATTTACAGTGTATGTTTTGGATGAACATATGTGAGCCCATTATAGGATCCATGGGCCTCTTTGGTGAATTTTGACTAGTTTTTGCTAATTTTTCCTTAAAATTATACTCGGACATGTGACACACTTTCCTTATTAATTCGTCTCAAAGAAATGTCAGCTTATTATAATTTGAAATAATTTATTTTTAAAATTTTCATACTAGTCTTAATTAATTTAAACCACTATTTAAAATTGGTGTTCACTGCATAGCTTTTGGAAATAAATTTTAATAATAAAACATGATTTATACGATCATAAATTCTAAATATTATGAAAAAATATTCATAATATAAGTTTAGTATTATTTTTATAATAAATTAGATAATACATTATTCATAAATCATAACACGATATCTTAATAAAAACTACAAATAACACACAATTACCACTTACCACATATTCGTTAATTCTATATCTTCCCACAATTTACAAACAATTCCTTCACAGCGAAGATGCATTTCTTACATGGGGAGTGTATTTACTGAAGGAAAGAGGTAGATAGAATTAGTTGGACTATGATTAATCTCCCTCATCGAGCTACAGCGCGCAGCCACAGCCCACATGCATGATATTAATTGATATTTAGCAGTATTATGTCTTGAAAAATAAGTTATTAATAAAAAAAATAATTATTTTTTCTCGATATGTTAAAAATGACAAGTAAAAGTGAAAATATATTTTTAAATTAGTGGACAAATAAAAGTGAATGGAGAAAGTATATGGACTACTTAATATTAATGATGGAAAGATATATCCAAATCATTTGGGTAATTAGTAATACCATTTTTTCTTCTAATATTTGATAAATTAAACCATTTGTGCTTTAAACCTTTCAAAATGTACTTCTTAAGTGCCAAATCATATGAGAAAAAGGACATGTAAAAAATGAATTTTACATGTTTAATGCAAAACTAGATTACATAAACAACTTTCTAAACTTGGATTTGTCGATGTTTCTTAAATTACCCTCTACGTACCATAACTAGTAGTTAATTATTCTAAATTAATTACTATTCCCTCCAACCAACAATAGTTGTCCACTATTGACTTGACACACCTCTTAAGAAATAATAAATAATAGGGTTAATATTACTATTTTATCCTTTGACTTTATTAAATTTAATGCTTCGAAAAATGTGGTAAATGATAAATAGTATTTAATATCAAGGATAAAATAAATACAAAAAGTAAATTATCTCTTGATTTTCTAAATTGAACAAGTATTATTGAACAACTATTTTAGTATAGTGGATAACTATTATTGGACGGAGAAAGTAATACTGATCATCATGATTTTGGAATAATGGAAGATGGAACTAATGACTTGCCAAACTTTTGGTAGAATTTGCCTAAACTACTGTTATCCATTGGGATCTAGATTTGACCTTCTAATGCATTTAAACTGTTTGTCATAATTTCCCATAAATATGAAATCCTATTGTAACTATTTTGCATTAATAATAAATATGTACATTATTTGTTATTCTTTTAAGGCATGCAAAGTCAAACGTTAAAATTATAAATGAACGAGGGAGAAACAATTGTTACAAGATACATATATAGTAGTAATACTTTAATTAATTAATATATTTAATCAGATAACAAGACTTTAGACCGTTCTCTAAATACTTATATGGCTTATATTTTATTATATGATAATATTAACAGATTTTGTAACAGCTTACCGAGAGGATCAACAATGTCTAAAAAAATTAAATTATTTGGCTATATGATCAAGTGGAAAAGAATTTAGTAGAATTATAGAACATATTGACTATAACCAAAAGGCGAAATGATTTGATGAACCTTATACTTGTATGAGTTTGTATTCTGAACACTTCTACTTAATCATTTGTCAATTGAACCCTTAAACTCAATTAAAATAAAACTTTTAAACCCTCTGACCATTGACCGAGCTTACGTGACATTTGTTTTGCTGAGTCAATTATAGAGCGTGGTATCACACTTGTGAAAGCGAATGAAAACATGAATTTACTTGAAAAATGATAAAAAGAAAAAAGAAAAATACAAAAGTGCCCAACCCTCCCGTTTATTCCGCTACATCTCCTCCCAATTTCTTCCATTGAACCTCCGTCGTCAATGACTCCGGTTTTTTTTTTCCAGAAAAATTGCATAAACAAAACTTAACAACAAACTTTAGTGATTGCTCACAAGTGAGCCAAAGGTCCTATTCTCTAATTTCACTAATAGCTGCTGCAAAAGTAGAAGCTAAAAATTGGAAGATTTGGCACAAACTTGGTCACTTCATCTTTTTATTCCTGGAAGCGAACATGATGATTCACATGATGAACAAACTTTCAACATTCAAGCTTCGTTTGATTTGTTATAAGCGTTTTAGTCTTATTCTTCACATAGAAAAATTCAATTTCAAACAGCCGAAACAAGCCTCACGAATAGAGCACCAACCTTCCTCTTGTCACTCATTAGCTTATTTGTGAGAGACAAAGATGTTCAACGAAGAACATCGCTAGCTGAGAAAGAAGAACCATAGCAAACCCTAAAAATGAAATCAATTCCTGTTGATTGTGGTTGAGGGTTGGGGGAAGTGCAGAAAATCAAAGAGAAATATCAATTTTAAATATTTTTTTTAATAGAAACTTATTTTTTTGCCTTTTATTTAATTTTGGTTAATATAATAAAAAATATTTATTAGGATAATTATGACATGACATTATTATATGTGACATGGATATGACATGTCTTTATGTAAAGGAGAGTGAGCTACACACATAGGTGGAAGAGTTTAAAAGTCTCATTTTAATTGAGTTTAAGGGTTCAGTTGACAAATGATTAAGTAGAAGTGTTCAGAATACAAACCCATACAAGTAGGAGGGTTCATCAGACCATTCCACCTAACCAAAATAACTAAAATATTACAGAAGAATAAAGTTCAATAAAAAGATAGAAGTGAAATTTTACTAGATAAGTTCGAGGTGTTTTATTAAGATTTAGACCACTAGCTATGCTAGGAGTGCCCCTTGCCTTAAGGTTTAAGTAGCTCATCGAAGGAAGCGTGAAAGTAAGCAAGCGCCAAGCAGCTACTTGATGGGACCATCCGTTATCGGTCCCAAACTTAACCTAATATTGCCACCCCTAAGGTTGGTGTGGACGGTGGAGTTATAAATACTCCACCATCCAGAGGTAGACCCACCCTTGGCCAAGGGGTGTCAAGCGATATTCCTTTGCCGGAAAGTTACGGGGTCAAATTATATATATATTGACACTCCTTGACACAAGTGAAAAGATAAGTCCAGTGGTTAATGGGTTGCAAAAGTTTCTTAAAGTTGTGTGTTCAAGCCTCGCAAATATCTCAGGTTTGAGCTCTGGTACAGAGCCACTATCCATTTTAATTACCCACTTTTCGTCGCGAATCCGGATTAATCGACCTCCAAAGTCCGGATACCGCATGAGAAACCCAAAATACTAGTACTGCCTATCTCAAGATAAGACTTTGGTAATTCACTATAAATTATTGGACGGAATTTGGTGATTTTGTTTATGTGCAAATGCAATACTCAATTTTCTAGTATAATTTCCCTGCAATACCTAGTTTTCCTGTACTTGCAACATGATAATATCTAATGTTAATTGGTATGGAGAAAATCTTGTTGGGAGTGTCACCCAAATTTATAGTGTGCAATTCGGATTTAATCGATACTCCATTCCGGACTTTGAACGCTGAATAAGAAGAAAAATAAAGGAGTAGTACTAGTAATTTTTTTTCTTCAACAATTAGAGATTTTTAAAAAAAAATGTATTTAAATCTTTCAAATGTGGTTCTTAATTGCCATTATACATGAGAAATTTTTTTTATGACATGTAAAAGTTGACTTTTACATATTTAAGGCGAACTAGACTACATAGACAACTTTCTAAACTTAAGGATTTGTCAATAACATTACCCTCACAATATGTAGTTCCCCTTTTTACTTTTATTTGTTATATTTAAATTTTGTATATTTATTAAAATAAATAAAT